CACTGCACAACTAGATTCTTTTGACAGAACGCCAAAACGCGTCTGGCCCCTTTTTATTACGATAGCAATTATATGAACAGACCAGGCTGGTTTTTCGCCGTCGTCGCCGCCATTCACCATATATGTATACATATCCATATGTATGAACATTCAAGAAAAAAAAAAGCCGCCTGCGCTCGACGTCCAGCCCGTCGCAATGCGCCGACGCGCATTTATCGCATACTTTGCCTCGTGGATGGGGGGAGAGGGATTGATACTTGTGCACGCATGCTTATCCTTTGATGGGGAGAATCGTGTGCCTTTGGCTTTCACTAGAACAATTGCGTTAGTTGTCGGGCCCACAAAGGTCCCTTCGGTTTCTCCACAGGCTTCGTTTGCAAAAAGAGTGCGCTTTTCATACACAACAGTTCTTGTCACTGAAGGGAAAGCTATGGAGATGGAGCTTCTGCACATGCAGCACTACGCGAAGTAGTCCGTTTTGGCACGCGTCTTGTAACGCTGTGGAAAGTGACGGGGGTGCATTATCAGCGTTTCATGTAGACCCAGATGCTGCTTAGCGTTTGAGGTGCATGTAAAAAAGCGGGACTTTTTCACGTGTTCAGAAACGCAGTCACAACAGATAAATTAAAAGAAATACGAACATTTTACAGGTGTGAGCTGCGTGCTGTCTCAAATAGCTTCACATAGAAAATAAAGGAGGAAAATTTATATTTTACATTGAAAATACGTGTGCTACTTTGGGATGCTCGTGATTTGGCTCCGTAGCTTTACCTTCAGTGCCAAGCAAAGTTGTCTCTGAGTATAGTTTATACTCATCTGTACCCGTGATTATGTAACGTGGATCGTTTTTGTATAAACAGCATGTTAAGTGTGGAGGGAGTAAACGTTGTTAGTTTGCTCTCGTCCTGTGTGTATCGTTTTCGTGCGCCCTTTGTGCGTGAGCAGCACGCTGTGCGTTTCGATCTGCTTGCCGTTCTCAGCGCGACACTTCAAGTTGTTGCGGCTGCATTCATTGCTCCACCCATGCAGCGAAACTGACTTTTTTTACGTATTTATGGCCTTTATACTACCGCTGCGTGCCCTCGGAGCTTGTAGAATGCTATCGGGTCACCGTGACCGCAGTTTTGTGCGCGGGGGTTGCGGCAAACGGTAGTTTAGTTTCTTATACAGTCCCCGTGCGCTTGGCTGCGCACGTACTTTCATAACTAAGTTGTTTTATGCCATCTACGATCGCATCTGCCGCAGTTTTGTCCACAGAGTCTGCGGCAAGCAGTGCTGCTTTGACTGATTGAGCGCACACTTTCGGGATTCTGTCAGTTACGTCGTCGCCATAGATAATCGTGTCAAGAGCGACCAGGGTTTCGTCCACAGCGGGTGTGGCAACGACAATCACACACACTGTAGAAGACAGTGCGTGCAACAATCACACACACTGTAAAAGACAGTCCGTGCGCCAGTCGCACGCGTACTTTCAAAGCTTTGAGTACGCTTTCTGCTCTCAAACTTCGTTCGACGGTTTCCGCACTGAAGTTCACATCACCTGCCGAGATTAAGAAATGTGTTTGGTACATTCGAATTTAAGCCCAATGAACATAGTGAAATTTGGCCGGAGATTTCCCCAAATTTGCATCTGCCGCAGTTTCACATCACTCACCTTCTACTGTATGTTTAGATGAAGGCCTCTTATATAATAAAATGTGGTAGGTTCAAAAAAACTGGAGCAGAGTGAGTTGCTTTTTTGTCCATGTGGCCAGATCACGCACAGAAATTTCGATTTTCGGGGAGATTTTCATGACAACCGTACAAATGGAAAAAAAACGGTCGAAATCCGGGAGTCTCCCGGCCAATCCAGGAGACTTGGCAGGTATGCTCTTTGGTCTAATGGGATTAATTTACTCTAAATTATGTAGTGAGAAAAAAAAAGGAAGCAGCTCAATATTTTTCATTATTTCCAATAACGCTGTCAGCAACTGGCGTCACAAAACTCAAATGCTTAAATGAAAAAAAAAGAAAAAAAAAGCTGTCGCATCCGAGTGTTGCATTGGCCAGCAACATGGTTCAGCAAAGACCTGCAGAAATAGCTGCACAATAAAAAAAAAGGTAGAATTTCAATGGGCCAGTCGTTATCTAGAACATGGCTATCACAATGAAGAGCTACTGAATCACGATGGTTAGAATGTATTTTTCGAAGAGTTCCCACAAAATAACTCATCTTCTAAGCAGCACAACATAACTATACTGTCAAACTTCTAAGCAAAATAGTATGCCATTTCAGCAATGCTTTGTTGGATCAGTGGCGCATGAGTGCACTTGAATTTGTTACAGCACGAAAAATCCTGCGATTAAAATGTGCACGGGTTGGCTAAAGAAAGATTTTTGCTTTGCATTGCTATAAATAGACCCATGGTTTACTTTAATTATGGTAAAATTAGGGTGCAAAATTTGGCAACCGTGAAATCATAGCTTTTAATTATGAAGATGTGTGATATAATAATGTTATCTGTCATCTTTTCAATTCACAAACATGAACATGAGGATTAATCATGCAGACCAGAGGTACACGACATCAACTACCTGAAATGTTGGGAAGCCATCGGAAATTTCTTCACCAATGCCCCAGACTCAACATGGCCTTTGGACTCATGGTTGTTAGAGTCAACTGAACAAAAAAAAAGAATATAGAACAAATTTATGCATCTTGCTGCTTCACTTTTAGAAGTCAATGCTAGTCTTCGACCCAAATTGCTTTTTCAGTCCTACTTTCCACTTGGTAGTAATTAAATAGAAAGTCACACCAACTGTGTCCGAGAGCTTATTATAACAAGAAATACTAATTATTTTCCCAACTCTGAAAAAGTTCACTTCCTATGTGCCAAAGACTAGCAATGACTATCTCCAAAAGCTATGCACGCCAGAATTATGGGTCATGCCTGGTGCACCCTACTACCCTAACACAAAAAGAATATCTAGATTGTATAATAAAAAGCAACACAAACCACCTCTTAAATTTTACAGAAACATCTAAGAATATGCCTGACAAAAAAAATGAACTGAGACTGAACTGAAAAATTAAATGAAAATGAACAAACGATTCAGTCAGTATTCATCAAAAAATAACTACTAATAAAGAAAGCTTAAGGAAAATGGTTTACTGTATTTACTTACAAAATCACAACACTGAATGCCTGTAGTTACAAGTTTAATGAGGCTTACTTTAGATGTTGTTATTCTCAAAAGTCTGGTCATGCACAAATTCCACTACAGACCACAAGCCAAGTACAACAAAATCAAGAAAAGAATTACCACAGTTAGTACAATCGGTAACCAATCATGCCAGGTGAATCCTGTCCTTGCACCTTGGGCTTCACCTATATACAAACAGCAGAAACAGATCAATACCAGAAGCCATAATGCTGAGCACACAATTTGTGGCAATACCGAAAAACTGATTTAGTATGAGCCACTGCAGTAACATGCCAGTTTTAAGCTGGCAAAGCTGCTAGTCCCTTCAAACCTATCCACTCTCCATCAACTTCTAATGGCTAACATTCAGTACAGCCATCATCATATTAGCTCACAAAGATTTCTTCCACAATTACATAAAAAACATCTTAAATAAACATCTTCAACTATAAAAAATGTAGGTTTCTGGCACTCTGTTTATCTCAGCTTGTACACATTAGAAAAATACTGCGCCCAGGCTTTCTGCTAACGCAGTTGCGCCAACGTGTAATGGGAAATTGTGTACTGAAAAAGTAAGCAAGTTTTGTGTGTGATGCACACACAGTCAAATGAAGAGCCATACACTGCTGAAGCAATGGAAGAGGAGAAAAAAATGGGAGGAACAGCAAGACAAAATCTCATACACTTATATAAATAATTCACCTTACAGAGCAATCGCATGATGAAATAAACTTCTATGATACAGTCACTAGAAGCCAGGACAGTTAGTTGGGTGCTTTTCATAATGTGTACAAGGCATACCCAATGATGGGAAGGAGATAAAGCATGCTCTGTCTCTGCAGTTTCTATGACCATCATCTTTTGCACTGTGCATCTGCTACATCTCTGGCATTGCATTAAACTATGATACGAATGTTACTCTCTCCAAATACTACACTGATGTCATGAGGTCATTGAAACATTGAGCAATTTTTTTTTCAAATACACATAATACAGTACAGTAACATGATTGCTAACATTCAAACAATTAATTTTTAGCATGTGGCAGCAAATGGAAGGCATCAGTTGTAATGAGCATGATGTACCAAATGTTACATAAACAGAAGTAATATACAAGTCTTCCACCTGAAATAAGGCTTGTTTTCACTGAAATTCTACACAGAGATAACATTTTATGACTGATTCAATTAAAAACAATTTATTTCTGCACCTGACCAGAAAATTCACAATATGAACTGAAATTGTACATTGTCTAATAATAGGACTAATGTAATATGAATTCCCTGCAATGTAACATTTCTACTATTAGTGGTGACAAATAAAGTAGCTGTTCCACTAGAGGAGAATCAATATTTTTAGTAGCATTGCCCTGAACAAGCCACACTTCAGTTTTCATGGACAAAATGGGCAAGTTATACTAAAAAATGTGGCGGACCAACCACAAAATGCCCCCTCTAGACAAATGAGCCAGTCACATAGCTACAAAAAATGTGTATATCTGGCACTCATTTTTTTAACAGTCGTTACATGCCTGAGCAATACGAGAGTAATCACCATAACTTACATTCTAACATTTCCACCATAAACAAAATGCTCCATTAGATAAAATATTCAATGTGAAAGTTACTTATTCACATCATGAGTCATCCAGAGAAAACAATGGTTGCTCCTATAAAAGCAATCCTCCAGCAGCAACCTTGAATTTAAGCATCATATTACTTTTTCACAAATTGCTCGCACTTGCTATGGCATCACTACCAACGCCATCACCCTATGTGGATGCTCAGTCTTGAACCAAACTTGCAAGACCTTTTTTAAATCAACAAAAATTTATTTTGCTACGCCATATCGCATCTTTCAGAATTCAGCAGACATAGTGCTTTAGATGTCAGAAGCAGATGTGGTCGCCATGAACAAAGTAATAATTCAGTCTATCACCACAAGTTATATTTGTTTTTCCAACATCCAGAGAGGTTCGATTCTCACCTTATCGGAATAGAATAAGAGCAACAGTTTGGTAAAATGAACTCACTTTCACACTGCCTTGGATGAGCCATGGCAGTGGAATAGACACCAAAGCTTTGGGTTTGTTTTTGCTTTATATCATTACGAAGAGGAAACTGTTGGTGCAGCATCAAACCTCCAGCTCTCAGGTTGAGCAAAACTGAACTTTTTTATTTGTTTTTCTCTGGCTGCCTTATTATTCAATCATTATTACAGCCTGATTGATACAAAAAGAAAAAAAGGCTGGCAACAACGCAAAAAAGGTACAATATTAACTACTTAGTAAAACAAGGTTTCAACACAATGATGAAATGTTCCACATGAAATGAGTAACAAACTTCTCTACTTTTACACTGCTCTGAACATGAGCGCTAGATGTAAACATGTGTGCTGCATCAACACAGCTGCTGGTCATCTCTTGCTTGAAAATCATGGGAAAGATAGAGGGGTGTTACAAGCATTACGCCGATGTCTACCTATAATACTCACACCTAACAAGAGCTTATACAGTACCTGTTAGAAGTGCATGCATACACCACAAGCAATACAAACACAAGTACTTTGCTCAAATCGTGGAGCTCATGTACAGATCAAGATTTCATGTACGTTACAGCGACCAATGAACATATCAATCCACTGGGCGTCGATCTACAAGTAGCGCGTTTAATTTTAGAATATTCACTGCTTATTTCGAAAGTACAATGCTCTTTTCCGAACACAGACATTCATTTATTTAGCTGATCTCACACTGAACTTAGCACACATGCTGCACACTACACAAAGCGGTACTTTCTTTCTTTGCTAGTGTGTAGCAACAATTGCAACAAACAAAGGTCCCTTACATTCAAACATTAGACATTTATACAGACTTTAACTAAGATAAAATCTGCAAATGTTTTCCAGAATAACTTACCTGCACATTACATTGCAGAGATCTCATTGGCAGAATGTAGCAAATACAAATATTTAATTCATGTTAAATTGTAAATACAAGCCAGATGAAAGGATAGCAGTTTTCTAATGCCCTACCCCTTTCTTAGTTTTTTATAGTTTTTTTATTGGATTTTTTATCTTGCTTTGGATGGTATACTAGGTACACTTTGTATTTTTATATATTTACTGTATATTTTCTCACACTTGTTAAATAGAACTATTGCAACTTCTGGGAATAAAGTATCCCTGAACTAATTTATTAATGAAATATAGGTGTAAAATTATTTAAATAAGAATGCAACTGTTTCTTGTAACACTTTTACACAGCACAGTTATTTTATGTGAAAAACTCATTTCTGATCTGTGCGGGACATTTACATCACAAAGATACAGAATTAAAACATAGCAAACTTGCCTGGAACCAACATGCACATGTAGATAACTTTTCAGAAACAACACACATACCATGCATACAAACTACATGAAATCTCTGAAAACGTCCAACTATACAGATATCAAAATATGTGCACGCTTCAACAGAATTATTAAAATTTTTTCCTATTTTCCAATAAATGCATGTTAGTACCATGAAGTTACTGGCATCACTGTGTGAATCATAGGAGACGATTCAAAAAGAAGGTGCCTATAGCAGATCGAGGGGGAAAAAAACATTACACTCGTCTCACTGACAAGATACATGCTGCTGAACTGCATGAATCTAAGTCAGGTGAATAAACTACTCAACTACTTTCATCTCTCTTTTTAAGATTTTTATTTTGTTTTTGATATGCAGTTTTTACGCAACATACACTAATGAATGACCGTGGGAGACAAGTGAATGTCAACCATTTGTGCTGAAGTGGGTAAGAAAAATTGCAATGTGCATGCTGTAAATCTAAACAAAACTGACCAAATGAGTGGTTTTATTTCAGAAGCATAACTGAGCAGCTGATACAAAAAAATTTACCAGTGTAAACAAAACAATCCATAGCTGACGCATCAGTGCTTTTTAACAAACACTCGTCTACAAACAACTAAAAATTTTAAAGCAGTAAGCAAATATGTGCCAATCTTCCTGTATGTGTTTCATGATTTGCACCCAAATGTGATGTCGTGAACATGTTAATGTAGGCAAAAATGTTCAATGTTAGCTGACATTTGCACTGTGCTAGAAATACCTGTCAGAAGGCAGTCCAAAGTGCCTATCAGTTCTCAAGATACTGGCAAGCAACAGGAGCTGTCACACACACTTGTAGTTTCCACATAAGGTGCTAGGAAATTCCTTCAGTCCTTTGACCAAAATCTTGTGGAAGATCCAATGCCCTACAGAAAAGAAGACAGCTCATCACGTTCAGCTCAGGTTTTTTTTGAGGAGCTACACCATCTTGAAATTGCTAGATGAGAATAAACTTTGCAAATGACGGCTACTCGTTCGCAGCCATCACTAAGACACTCTTGCGCAAATATGTACAAGTGTTCCAGTACTGCAATGTGGTGCCTTTGCAACACAAATTCTGTGAAATCCTTGCAATGAAGGGCATGTGCTTTTTTTTGTTAAAAGTTTCCATGATTTCCACACCACAGGGCCGTTTCGTACTTTGCAGACATGATTGCCATTGCATGACCTACACGCCACACTGGTTCTCTTTCAATTCTCTAAGTGGTTATGAAAAGGAAAAGAAGAGAAAAGCACCGACCCATAAGTATCTCTCTTTACGAGGACACCTCAACAGGTTGGTACAGGGATGGGGTATGAGGAATAAAAAATATAATAAAGAAAAGAGGAGAAAAGCAAAAAATAATATTAATAAGGAAAATAGGACTCATTCAACCCGCCTTCCTCAATGCGCGTTCGAACCATCGCAACAAGGAGCCGGTCGGGAAATACGCTGAAAAGGCAGTCGAAATAATCGCCGAGAAGGAAGCAATAACAGGCCGGAAGACGCATATGAAGTGTATAAAGGCACGAAGAACTCGCCGGGGCTCGTAACACAGGCATGAAAAGATTAAGAGTTCTCCAACCTAATAATAATACCTAGGGTTTTACCATGATGAAGACGTCATGTGATTATGAGGCATTGCATGGTGGAGGGCTTTGGAAATTTTGACCATCTAGTGTTCATTAACATGCACTCACATTGCATATCACTTAGGCCTCTACCATTTTGCCTGCATCGAAAACGACCACCGTGACCAGGATTGAACTAGCGGCCTTTGAGTCATCCCTCAACCACTATATTACCGAGGCAGATTGCCCTAACTTGGCACAGAGCCCTTTAATTACACTCTGCTAAAATATTATATACAAGAAAGAAGCATTTTGGACTTTAATTATTTGCAAATTTCTAAAAACAACCAATCAGTACTCAAGCCATTTGTATTCCCCTTTCAAGAAATCCATGCGTTTTGCTGTCATCATTTCATAGTGCTGTTTGTTCAAGTATGTCTAATTATTATGCCAGAAAATGATATTGGCCTTACCGTATCAATAACACATTTATTGTGTACAACTGCCATAAGAGGAAAACAAAAGAGAAAACAAAGAAAGCAAGAAATAGTTGAGCATGGCCAAACAAGAAGCTGAGGCAACTATGATACAGTCAAAAGCACATACAGTGCAACCCACTTATAACGATCCCAGATATAACGATCTATCGGTTATAAGACCATATTTCGCTGCACTTACGATTTTCCTATCCTACCCTTTGAAACTGAGTCCAGATACAGCGAACCTTTTTCAATGCCTCCTACTTATACAACGAACATTTCTGACACGGTCACAGTAAAAATATAGCGTATACAAAACAGGAAAAAAGGGGTAAAACAGGCATCCTGAAGCATGTAATAGGCGCGCTCGCGTGTGCACTGCCGCAGTTTGCTTGGGACGGAAGATATCACAGAACGCGGTGAGCACTGCACACAGATTTCGGACGTTGCGAGTAAGATGGTTCCCTTTCCAGACGTTTCTTCACAGGCAGACCGGAAAAGAGGGGGATAAAAATTAAAAGAAAAAAATAGGAGGCAGCATAGAACATTGCGGCCAGCTTTCGCACGGTGAACTTTTCTGATGCTGTTATCGGCATCTACGACCGCCGACGATGAACCAACGATTCCTTTGAACGCTAAAAGCCATAAATGCGAGAAGCCATAACTTTTGTTGCGTGAAAGTTCCCTGCAAGGCTCAACTCTTCGACACCCCCATTAGACAACACCACATTGTTGGCTTTCCTCTACGGCCCGTTTTATGGATGCCTTCGTTTCTTGCCATGTGCTTGGCACATCTGCTTTAGACGAGCGTCACCAGCCATGCCGGCAAAAAGACGAAGTCGTTGCTTCAATCGCGTAGCACAAGCGGGAAGCGGACGAACACACACGCGAGACGGGAGCCAGCGGCCGACAAACAACAACCAGGAAAAAAAAATTGGCCCCGTATCTGCATATTAATCTGCGAATTTCGTCGAAAGACCATAGTGTTGCGTGTGGAGAGAGTGAACAAAACATTTATTTGATGTTCTGCGAGAGAAAATCGGTGACTGGTATTCTGGAGGCGCTGCGTTAGAGTGCCTCGAGCGTGCAGCGGAGGCGAACAAGCGCATCAAGTCACGTCACACGTGAGACATAAGCGCCATCTGGCAGTTTTCTTGGAAAACGAAGCGCGCGGCCCTGAGACTGGCGAGCGCGCCCATCTTAGAGGTGATAATGTGTAGAACGCAAGGCGACGAGTAGGTGCCACCACCGTGTTGTCTTAGCAAAGCGTTGGGAACACTTGCCTTTTCGTGCAAGCGTTGCATGGTCAGCACAACGTGATAAACGCTACGGTCCTTAGAATTACTTATGTATGCCTTTTCTAGTAAAAGACGCACATGCAGAATATATATATGTGTTGTTTTGGTGCCTCAGATATGCGCAATAATTACTTTTTTAATTGACAATCGCACAAGTATGAATGCTGCACCTTGAGCAACATTGGTGGGCGCTGCAGATGGGGTCTGTTGTTTGGGGTACGGCTGATGCCGTTTAGAGTACCCGGTACGTTAAGGGTGTACAGAGAGACAAATGTACAGACGGACAGACGGACAGAGACAGCCAGCCAGCCAGCCAGCCAGCCAGACCAAAATTTTCACGTTGAAGCTCCCCAAGAAGGACTATCGTCTTTTAAAAAAAAACGCAGCCTCGTTAGCCACATCAGCCAATGGGAAGCGAGAGTGGGGGGGAGGGGGCTAGCCTGACACGCACAGCAGCCTTTCCTTTCATGTGACATCATTTTGAAGGGTGGCAAAATGGGCCCATGAAATGAGCTTCAAAACGAGCTCAAGACGGCGGCGATTGTCCGGCTGCTTTGCCAGCAACGCGCGCGCGAAGTTTGAACAAAATTTATCTTTTTCGGGGCGTTTCGCAACTCCCATAGCAACTTTATAACACATTTTAACCCATTTATTGATTGAATTTAGTGTTCACAATTTCAGAACACGTGCATATGGAACAAAAATTCGAAAAATTGACTTTTTGGTGATTTTTCACCATTCTGCCTGCCTAACAGCAAAGACCGGTCAATTAGTGATAACAACTTCCCCGCGGTGGCGGCGATGCCTTAACGAATAAGCATAAAAAGAATGATACCGAGGTGGTCGGTGGCGATAAAAGTGCCATTTCGACTCACTGCCGGCGAGCTTATCACAGTCATCTACAGATAACTGCTCGGTGGAGTGACGGTGGTACAAGCACGTCATGGTGCCAATCGCAAGCCTGCCGCCGCGTCGTGCAAGGCCACTTGCGCACGTTGCTCACGAAAATCGAACAGGCTACCCGCCGCACCCTAGCATGATCCCGAGTGAAACATGCGCGAAGAACGCACAAACACGCACATACATTGGACTGCAAGTGAACTGGCATGCAACGGCGAGAGTAGCTAGGGTAAGCGACATACCACACGCAACTAGCCAGGGATGACTGGTTCGATGTCAGTGGATCGCGATTCAGTAGAACGGCGTGAGTTCATTACGAACAAGTGTCGTTTAACACGCGAAAAGGCCTGACTTGTCAGCGAAGGGGTTCTTCACACTTTTTAATAAAAAATACAAAAAAAACGTTTTGGTCGCTATGTGGCCGTTTTTAAGGGCAACTCCATATACAACGACCATTTATTGCGGCACTTTCGAGTTCGTTATAAATGGGTTCGACTGTATATCGCACTTGCCTATAACTAATTACTGGGTATTTCGAACGCTCATTAAATCTCCTTGAATATATTTCTCATATACCACATATTTTACATGTCAAATTAGATGAGGAATTCGAAAACAAGAGGTGGGTGCTGGAGCAAACATTTTAACAAGCAAACTTGTCTTTTTCAAGGCTGCAACTAAAGCACCTAACCCTGGTTTTTGCATTTCTCATCACAACCTTCTATCTTCCCCTTCTTGCCCTTCTTTAGGATATATCAAATGAGCCATATGTGGAACTCTTTTGTGATTCCCTTGCAGTTCGATATATCCGGATTTGACTGTATAACCAACCAAAACAGAACACCAGAAAGAGTTCCAAGAGAAGAAAAACGGAAACAGATGTTAATAAAATATAACACCCAACGTCTAGAAAAAAGTTCCTTTCAATATAAAAACTAAGCTGAAAACATTCTCTCACCAGCCCTGTGTCTGCTTCCCTAGCTTATATTCAATCTACAGTAACTCCACAATAAATAAATTGCGCATTTTTATGGTCGACACTCCCTCTACATGAAGACATTGTATATGCCTTACAGTGCCATGGCACGATCACCCTACAATTGCAGTTTTTAATGAAAAATAAGTGCACTGGGTCTATCCTGCCTTTAAATATATGAAAAATTGACTGCAAAAAATATTTCTTAGCAATTTTAGCTTTAGAAGTCGCCGGCTATAAACTCCGCCCATCGCCGATGACCAACATTCTGCCATTGTGTGTGTGTTACGTCATGTGCGGCATGAAGTGGAGCCATCGTCTTCTACCGAAGTTTCAGCTGCTGAAAATCGTTCAATTTCCATTCCAAGCTGAAGAAAGTTGAAATAACTCCATCGTAAATGCAGCTGGTCACGAAACAAAATCGTTGGCTGTAATTCAGACTTTCGCAAAGCAAGGCAGCTTGTTACATCATGGCTCGTGAATGCGCCAGTATTCTCCGATTCTCGGGCTGCTCGCGTGTTTATTAAAATATTCATTACAAATGAAATGCTTGATCGAATGCGCTGAAATTCCACCAACTTGTTTGTGAAAGCCCAAGGATTAACCTGTACAATACAGATTATAAGTGAAATTGGGTGTCATGGCACCCTTAAAGCATGCAGTAACTATACAATCAGCAAGCTCTTTATGGTGCAGGAGGAGCCACCAGTCCAAGGTGTCTATTATCCGAGTACCACAACAACAGTGATATACTTGATATTGAAGATAACAAGCTCATAAAACATCATTATACGTTTGTTACGCAAATCTAGAAGCGTTGTCACCTCCCTCTCCCCGCTCTAGATAGATATGTAGGGTTTAACGTCCCAAAACCACCATATGATTATGAGAGACGCCGTAGTGGAGGGCTACGGAAATTTTGACCACCTGTGGTTCTTTAACGAGCACCCAAATCTGAGCACACGGGCCTACAGCATTTCTGCCTCCATTGGAAATGCAGCCCCCGCAGCCGTGATTCGATCCCGCGACCTGCGGGACAGCAGCCAAATACCTTAGCCACTAGACCACCGCGGCGGGGCACGAGTCATTAAATTGTAAAGCATATTGCATATTGATATATATCTTTGTATGCAAAATCCTATGTTGATACATATCAATATATGCAAGATCATGTTTAAGAACTTCTTGCTGGGCGAGTTGGTACATGTCTGTGGTATGTAACGTTGCGCACACAATTGGACGAACACAGGAAGTAAAGAGGCATAAACGGAAAGAGCGCATACTATCAACTGGCTTTATTGCTTTGGTCGCTGTAAATATATGCACACTTAGCAGACGTCCCAAAAAAAATTGAAAGAAGGTTGAAAGAAAGGAGGATGAAACACACGGCAGGAATACCTCACATCAATAAACAAAGCTGCGCAGAAAACTGCTTGCTGCACTATGCAGTGAAACAGACGTGTCGCTTAAACATCTGTCTCCCAATTCCTTATTATAAAACAGATGTGTCGCTTACACGTTTGTCTCCCAATTCCTTATTATAAAAAACTTCTAATGGCTCACACCCTACTCTCTCCTTGCTCCTGCCTAGAATTTTAATTTTTGCTGCGTCATTAATAAAAAAAGAAGGGTCGAACTTGCCCACTCATTGCAGTACATGTATGGGTTGTGAGCCATATTTCAAAAATGTCCATGCTTCAACAGAATTAATAAAATGTTTTCCTATTTTCCAGCATAATAATTTTTTCAGGATGCACATATACATACCTGCCAAGTTCAAGAATTCTGAATCCGGGAGAGTTCCACAAAGGGGGGAGGGGGGGTTCATATGTCTTGCCACCCTTGGCACCTTTTTTTTTTTCCACATGCACGCACACACACACACAGACACACACACAAAAAAGACATCATGGAAAAAGTGGGGGTCCCAAACAGCCTTGTAAGGGTAAATATCAGCGTTGCAGTCTTATGATGGCCTATAAACAACAAGGCGGAGTGTCCAAACAACAGTAAAATCTCTGTGATACATACGACTCTCAAGCGGGATCGAAAATATTCTTACCACCCAAAGCTTAGTATAATAAAAAAAACTCGCAAAAGTGGTTTTCACACTGATATATGTGCACAAAATATCTTTTTTTCCATCAAAAACTGATGTACGTTTTTGTGGGACACACGCGAATGGACCAATAAGGGATGGGACAGCTGGCTGCAACGAAACTGGGCATCGAAGCTTCGCTTGAGGCAAACCAAAAAATGCTTAAGTCTGCTCCACCGTAGATCGCTATGAACAACAAAATGCTTCGTGCCTTTTTTTTTTTTTTAATGCCTTTATCGCCTTCAATCTGTTGCTGTTTTAGCCGTGTACCTACAGAGCTTATAGTCCCTATCGATCGGTTCGTAGCAACCGCAGTTTTGTTTGCAGCGGTTACGGCGAATGGTAATTACGTTCTTATTCCAAGCACGCGTCTTAAAAACTGAGTCACTAGTTGCTATTTATAATTGCTTCTGTCACAGTTTTGTCTGCAGCAATTGCAAAAGAAAGCGTCGCTTGACTGGGTGAGCGTATGATGCACGTGCACTTTTCAAGCTTCTGTCAGTTTCGTCCTCACCATACATGACCGTGTCAAGAGTGACTACAGTTTGGTTCGCCGCACATGTCCTTTCCAAGCTTCCAGCACGTTGCTCTCGGCTAATGCTCGACGGTTTCGTTTGAACGTCCAAACTTCGGCCCATTGGACACGGTGGAGTACGGCAGCGGAACTTCGCAAATTCGAATCACCGAGATTCCAGCGTACGTTTACATTAAGGCTTCCTAATGCGATAGTGCCGATAGTTTTACAGAAAGCCTAGATCAGACTGGGTTTAATTTTTGTCAATGCGACCCGATTACGCAAAGAAATTTCGATTTCTGAGACATATTCCTGCCAACCGTACAAACGTAAGAAATGGTGGAAATCCAGGAGTCTCCCAGAAAAGTGAGGAGACTTAGAAAGTAAGCATAAATGAAGAGACAAAAAGGAACTCAATGTTAAGGAACAGTACTGAGAAATAGCCCACACATATTGTTAAAATTTTCAAAGCAACTCTTTTTAAATATTGTTAACCTAACCTGTCAGCTTACACCACTGCCACTTCCGAAAGAAGAAAAGTCAGTGACAAGAATTTCCATCAAGATGATTATTAGACACATATACCTTAAATATATATCAAGGTTTTTAACATGAGCAACAGCTCCCTGTCAAAAAAGAAAAACCATTCTTTGAAGAAAAAAAAAAGATAAGCACATCAAGCCCGAGACAATGTCTTTGAATAATGGAAAAGATCTTAAGAAGGAGTGCATTCCGTCTTTGTTGACATATTGATTGCACTTGATCAATAAAAAGTTTAACAGACTTGAGGGTGTAATTCTTGCCCATAATATGTTTAAGAAAAAATCTAGTAGCACCAAGAATTCCAACAACCTTATGTCGCAATAGTTACGACAGCTACCATGGCCATAACCAAGGAATGAGGTTGAAGGAGGCCTTTCGCTGTAATCAATACATTCACTAACTACGCTTTGCATAAACTGCTCTACAGAAAGCTTGGTGCATATCTGGTGGATTCCAAAAATTTCAAAAAAGAAATAAAGAAGCTTTTCAATTAAAACTGCCTCTTTTGGCACCATGCAGTACAGGTAAGCAATGTGTTCACGCAACAAACTGCCCGAATGTACACAGACCAGATTGTTGTGAAAAAGAAAAAAAAGTAAAAAAAAAGAGGTATGCCAGTCACACCGCGGAACGGCCACCGACTGAAACATAAGTAGAACGTAAAGCTAAGCCTAAAAGCTTGAGCCCAGAGCCGGCACACAGCGATGCCTTTCAAAGCACTCGTTGCAAGTTTCGATTACAAAATGAAGCAGTGGCATATCACCGTTTATGAAAACTGTGCCATGTGATCGCCAACGTGCATTGAATCATGAATAAAGCGCCAAGGTGACGGTTAATATCGTTTAAACTGGTTTGAACGTGCATATATGTCACGACGAGTTCGCGAATCGTACCAAGTTTTTTCGCGTGCACTATGGACAAGTCCTCAGTGCTGCTACCAAGTGGCTCTCTAGCTCCCTGCAAACACCAATGGGTGGATTTGGCGTGCGATGGCTTTTTTAAGTGCAATGAAAAGTCGCTTGTCTATATAAATTAGTGGCCAATAGGGGTAAACCGGGAGCAGGTCACACACGTTCTGTTGCTCACAAAACCCAGGAACTCACATGCCAGAGCATGCAAGAGACGTAAGCGTCGCATGCAGGGGATGACTCCACGCTTACGCAACAAGGTACTCGCCGTAAGCGTCGCATGCAGGGGATGACTCCACGTTTATGCATTAAGGTACTCGCCCACGGCAAATGCACGCGGGTTGGTGACCACTCGCAGCAGTGTTGACATGAAAACCGCAGCGACCGGAGCAATGCACTACACACAACGAAGAAGCCAAGAGTCAATCCTGCTACGCATGTCACTCTGTTAGGGGGGGTAACTCAGTGGTTTTCAAAGTGACAGTGGCACCAGAACACAGAGCTGCTTCTACAGCCTAGCTGTAGAGCACACAGCTTGCTGCTTCCACAGCCTAGCTAGTAAAAGCAGCAGACTCAATGCACGGCAGTACATTTTTGTGGAGTCGCGTATATTTACAACAGTCAAAGGGAGATTATGGGGGCACCAAGGGGGCATAGTCAACTCGGCCTTTTTTCCCCACTAAGCTGAGGTTGGATTCAAAACTCTTGCTTTTGGGGCTGTTTTGGAGCAGTTCGGCGAAACTTTTGCAATTTTTATGCCTTTAGAGCAGCTTGGCGCAAGAAAACGGAAACTTATCAAACATGCGCAATATGCGCATGTTTGATAAGTTTCCGTTTTCTCTCACCCATCACAATAAAAAGTGCAGATTTATTGAGAGTACAAGAAATTTGTCAGGGACAGCACCAAAGAAATAATAAATTCATACATTTCAAGTATTAAAGTGACACTTACATTTAAATCTTGTCATGTATAAATGGGTGGGCCAGGGCATGATTGATCGATATCCGCTTCGCAGGGTCAAGCATCAAGGTTTTCTCCAAAAGATCTTTCAGCTGGCCTACTTTCTTGACTTGATCCTCTGGCAGCCGCTGCCGTCCAATTAACTCACTGGATAAGTCACGGGTCTGATTGATGTTTGTCATGACCACCACTTTCTCCTACACAGAGGCAACCAAGGCATATAATTATTTTTCATTGAATCTCACAATCCCTTGTTACCGTCAACAAGGCAGAGCATATTTGGGAGACTTATTAGACATTTCACAATATTACATCCATTAAAGTAGCTTTAATTGTTTCACTATGTAAAGGAAAAAATTCACAATACAGTATATTAATGAGTTGTGCATATTAAAACAGTACTAATGAAGGGAGCGGAACCTTGAAGCAAAGATCCAGAACCAATAAACCCATGAAGAATACTGGCAAACTTCAGAGAAACCTATACAGGTTTTGTAATAGCTTTCCTCATGAAGTTTCACTTTTGTTATCCATGAGACGACTCATGTTGAGGTGTGATGATGATATTAATAATAATAATAATAACAATAATTCATCAAACAAATACATGAGACAGTTTCAGATTGATTAGGTATTAAGGCTAGTATGGATGAATTGCATGTGTGTCACATCCGGGAATGAGAGGATCGAGAACTGCCATGGTCGTCACATATGCAGCTGCCTGGAAGCGTAATCAGGAGCTTTACAACGGCAATATCTGGTTTTCGGCCACGCCACCGGCTTTACCATGGCTACTTGTGCCATTTTTGGGTGCAGAAGAAGTGGAATTTCTGCTTCTAAAGGTCAGGCACAGCCACACATTAAAATGTTTAGTTTCCCCACAATTATTACAAACCAGTGCACGTGAACAAGAATTCATCCGAAAAGTACCATATCGCTTGGCTGGCACGCATTAACCGGGAAAACCTGAAGAAAGAAAAATAAATCCGTGTCTGCAGTCATCACAGGTAAAGTTATTTTTGAGTCATGTCCAGGTTTAGCACGATAACTATCATGATCGCGTCGCTTGTTCAAAATAGCTACCTAGATTCTCATCGATGTACAGACGACCTTTTCCCCTTGAATAACTGCATCTCGTGCTGTTACGTGAGGTCTAATGGCGCAATACATGTGAACATCTCTTCTTTCGTGGGACAACCTGCGAATTCAATGGACGATGCGAACCCCGACTGGGCATCAAGCCTAGGCAACGGCTGTAATTAGCAGATTACTGCTGCAGCATGTGCACGTTTTCACCGCTCCAAAACGTGACAGACGAACACGCTGGATGCAAGCACAACGGGCATGCCATCCATAAAGTATGGAACATCGCTCGAACTGCCTGCCGTAGACGCAGAACCAAAGCGTAATGAACTTATCAACAGTAAATCCTGTCCAAGCCCACGCGTCTTGAGAAAGACAAAGTTTTAGTTCAACCGTAACATGAAAAAGCATTGTAACTAACCTCACTTAGAACGACAACACACTGTGATAGAAGCTGGTTTGCTGCTATGCTCTTCACCCATCCACTGGTGAAGTAGTTGTAGCCAATCAGCGACTTGTAGACCATTTGTTGCAGCGTGACATGGCTCGTCGAAAGCACCAAATAGTTCACGATGTTGCTGTGTGTGCGACGGAAAGCAGCAGATCGACGTTCGGCATCCAATGCGCGGGTTGTACGGGACGATGCCATTGCACACACACGAGCCGGTCCCACAAGCTCTTCCGAATACGACGGGCAAAGCGCGCGCACGTTTTCTTTCGCCATATCGTTCGAATGACGCCGACAAGCTCCTGCGCGGTGCTAAACTTGCACTCGCAGCCTGACTCAATGTTGACAAACATGGCAGTCGCTCACTTTGCAAGCCGGTAATGACGTCACATGCAATACATGTACTGTACGTTGCTAGGTAGCTGTGTGAAGATGCAGACAATGGGCTCTGGGAGTACATGGTGATATTTCTGCACTTAGCCCGCATCACTTGGTCATTTGCTATGCTGATACTCATGGTTAGGCCCAAATGACAGCATAGCAGACTACTGAACACAGAGTAGAGAGAGAAAAGCAAAAGAAAGGCAGAGAGGTTAACTAGGTTGAACCCTGTTTACTATCCTACACGGGGGAAGTGGGAAAGAGGAGGAAAAGAACAGGGAAGGGAAGAGAGGCAAATTAATACACCAGCATGCATCATAGCAGCGTGTACCGCGCATCTCCAGGAAGTCATATAATTGCCTACTGTGAAGAAGTACGGGTCGACTTCGACTGTCTTAGATTGTAAAGAGTCAAAGTCGACCATTTTAAAAAAGTGTAAGGTGCCATTAACAAAAATGATGAGCCACTATAAGTAAATGCAGAGTGTTCAATCATTCAAGCAATTGAGTACTGCACTATTCATACAATGCATTTCCCCTTTTTCCTTATGTTGTTTGACGTCTTTGATTGCCAAAGAAAGATTGAAACACTTAACACATGGTAGTACTAGTTGAGGTTAGCCACAATTAGCTGGCTCCTGCATTATGCACCCTAACTGCCGCAAGAAGAGCAGCCTGTTGCTCGTTCATGATAGTTCTCAGGGTGAATGTTTTGCCACAACCAGCCACCTCCGTAAAGAACACCTGCAAAGGTGGTGCTTAAGTGCACATGCCCCCTTTGCAGCATTTAGACATACCTCTATAAAGCGTTGCTTTGCACTAAGCACACTACTTTCTCAGGTACATAATTCCCTTCTCGGCTTGCATGCACCTTCTTTCTCCAGTGATCACTTCCATCACAGCCCAACACATAACATCACTGGTTTCACAGACAGGGCATGTATGCTTGAGAGATGTAGAGAGATGCAGCACTATAGGTCATACATGTTCTTAACCCACTTAATCATACATTAAATGTAAACATTTGAAATTATATCAGTTAATTTGTTAAATTGTTTAGGTGTGGCCATAGCTATATCGTGTCCGCTTCACCAGCAGAGGTGGCAGCAAAACATGAAAAGGAAGACATAAGAATTATATGCTATGTTCTAAAATTAAACTAATTTTTGTGCATTCGAGTCTTTTATATTGTTTAAAGATGGCAATTTAGATAAAAGGTGATATCCCAATATATATAATCCAAATTCAGCTTTTTTTTTTTTTTTTTTTCAGGAGAAAGCCTGCTTCTATGATTCCATTTACATAAAGCAAGGATGGAACAGCTGATTTGACCATAAAGCAACTTTTGAAGAACACAATGCATTTGGAGCAGGTCAACGGGGGAGAATTAGACATTTTTTGAACAGCAAATTTTAAGCACAACACACCAGATATGGAGTAGCTCAATGAAATGATCCGAAGCTTTTTTACTCTCGCCCTTTTCTTACATTAACATTTGCATGACTTCTAAGTGGGCACAAGACTGCTACATACCACTTTCCAGTGTTTACCCTACTTGAAGTGAGGTCCTGGCCACACTAGTTCTCCCAGTTAAAGCTAAGAGGTAAATTGAATAACATTTGGGGCATATCATAGCAATGACAGTCTTCCAAAGTCATCGGGCTAATATTTAAATAAAAATTCCTGATTCCGCCTACTGCTTACATGGAAGCGTAATGCCCAAACAAAAAAGATTGAGATTACAGGAATGAGAATTGGCTGAAGGGAACAGGTTAACACACATCTTCTCTAAACAAACACTGCCATGGCAGCTAAGTGCACAAATAAAGTACATACTTACACCACAGTAATGATTGATTTATATGTGGGGTTTAACGTCCCAAAACCACCATACTATTATGAGAGACACCGCAGTGGAGGGCTCCGGAAATTTCGACCACCTGGGGTTCTTTAACGTGCACCCAAATCTGAGCACACGGGCCTACAACATTTCCACCTCCATCGGAAATGCAGCCGCCGCAGCCGGGATTCGAACCCGCGACCAGCGGGTCAGCAGCCGAGTACCTTAGCCACTAGACCACTGCGGCAGGGCACTTACACCACAGTAAGTAAAAAAAAAAATTTCACGTTGGTTTGAACAGCTGCCACGAAAACGGTACGAAAGCATTACCGGATGCAAGGTAACCAAGCCCACAAAACGTGTCAAGTCTATCATGGACTACTGACAGCTATCACAGTAAACATGAGTTAGCTTCTCCAGAGATAAGCACATACTACATCACAATACTAGACATAAGTCCCCGACAATGCACAAACATGGCTTTGCACTATCACACTTAAATGCAGCAGAACATAGGCTACAATGGGATTATATTGGATTATAGTGGGGTTCAGGTACCCCAAAAATGAAATTAACAATACCCTGGTGCCTTGGCTATTTAACTACTATTTTCTTTTAAAACTAGGCTTAGTACAAAACCCTTCATGGTCCCACACAGTGTTTTGAAGCACCTCTGACACAGAAAGCTGAAAATGTAGCTTTATCACACTGCAGCTCTACCACACCTGCAGAGAGCTACAAAATATCTGGTTCTAGACCAACAGTCTTCTCGTATTACACAAATTCAAGACCAACCTACCTTTCACTTGACCTTTTTCTCTCTTTCTATCCAAGTACCTAATTGTCTAATGGCTTGATTAAAAGGGCTTACTGCCTCACGAATTCAATGCCACAAAACGTTTTTAAATGAAAGGGGTTAGATATTCACTCTATGTTTTAAGTACTTTCTGTCACCTTCAGTACCAGGGAACACCATGAAAGCTACTTGAGGAAGAGGGTAGCAAGGGGGCCAAAAGATGCATTCCTTCGTCAGCGCATCTCACGACCTTGAGCCCTTTCTTTTCTTCAAACACATGGCTACGTTTAATGTGACAGAAAGAGAGAGCATGCACGCTTGCATTAGGCAGTATTGCACAGCGACCACGGTAACTATGCAGCCCACAACGCTCTTATCAGCCAACGGCCGTGGACTCGGGTATATGGTGCAGTAATCTGGATATATGATATCATTTGTAGAAAAAAGAGGGAGCGACTTCTAGCTGATTTTGAGAACTAATTGTAAATTGCACGCTTCACGGTGCACTATAATTTTTGGGTCACATGTTCTTAGAAGCCTTAACTACCAATTAGCATCGTTTTCTGGCCATGCAGGGCCCCTACGAGCAGCAATTCTGCTTAAGCGATTCATATTGACAGAGACACCACTGCATATTAAATTATGTATTG